ATGCCTGGACTCCTGGAGCTCTGGGCACTGCCGGATGGCCTCCTCCATCCCACCGTGCGCAGGGTAACCCCCAGACCCCAAGGGATTTGCAGCTTGGCGTGTGGGCAGGGCAGAGCAGCTGGGAAGGGGACCCATCCCCGGGGGTACCTGCGATGCCCCGTCCCCACGGGGTGATGCGGGAGAGCAACCCCAACACAGCCCCGGCAGGAGAGCTCCGCTGCCTCGGCACAGCCGGCACTGCTGTCCCACACGGCTCCGGCCGAGGGACCTGGGCACTCTCCCCTCCACTTCACACCTCTCCCAGCTGACCCCTTCCCAGCCCAGGGTCCCATCCTGCCCCAGGTTGCAGATGTGGTGAAAGGGGTGAGGATCCTGGGGGTGCACGGATGCCTTCCCCACGGGGGTGGGTGGGCAGCCCCCCTGTCCCTGCCGCACGCTGCACCGAGGCCTCCGGTAATGCAGAGCACGTCCCTGCCGAGCATGGAGAGGAACCGGGGGGGATCCCCCCAACACTGCTCCGTTCCTCAGCCCCAGGCGGGCTCCTGGGTGCTAACACCCTGTTCATGCCAACCCAGCTATTGAAGACACCCCAGCCATAATGACGTCCCCTCTCTACCTGGAAATCATCATTTACTGCACCGGAGCCTTCCTCATCTCCTGCATGGTGGTGACCGTCATCATCTACAAGATGAAGAGCACCACCAAGAAGACGGACTTCAACAGCCAGCTGGCCGTGCACAAGCTGGCCAAGAGCATCCCCCTGCGCAGACAGGTAACAGAAAGTAGAGAGGGGGTTTGTTTGCACCTAATCCCCTCCTGGGAGACCTGCCCTTCCCCGGGGTGGGGGCGAGATTTGGGATGAGAATGGATGGGGGGGAAACCTGGGACCATCTCGCCCTGCTGCGCACATGCCACCTTCTCCAGCTTTGTGTCCATCGGTGGTACCGGGTTGGGACCGTCCGTGGGTTGTGCCCGAGACCGGCAGCCCAGCGAGCAGGGGAGGGGGGCTGCACAGCCCCTCCTCATCCTCGGCTCAGCGAGGCTCAGCGGGGGTGAGGAGGACCAGGATTACAGCAATTTAGTGTTCGAGCAGAAGAGCGTGGTTTACACACTTGAGGAGACAGGAGGTCTCCCAGGCTGTTTATTTTGTCGTATTGGCATGCCAGAAATTAATTAAAAATTACTTAGTCCAGCTCCAACGTGGAAGCAGCGCTGAGGGGGCCCCGTGCCCGCAGGCAGAGGAGGGGGCTGCGGGCAGGGGGCTGCGGGCAGGGTTAGGGTACGAAGGCTCCTGGTCAGCATCTCCCTCCCGGCGAGGCCCGCCGGGTGCGCCCC